GCCCCAAGTTCACTGGCACCGGTAGAATGGTAACCAACGCCAGAAGAGCCACTGCCATTGGCCAGTCTTCTACTACGACTCGAAGTGATTGCAGGCCATCCGGCAATGAAAGCAAAGGGCGCACGTTGCCAGCCGATTTGAGTAGAAGGTGAAGGCATAGCATCGGCTGAAGAGGAAGTTTTTGCCTGACTTTTACTTAATTCTTTCGTGTTCGGCCAGAGGAAAGATGAGCACTTGCCGTCAGATCGGCTCAAAAGTAGAAGTGGCCCATGGGCAATCGACTTGAAAGGTACACTCACAGCAACATTTGAGGTTCCCATGGGGGCCATAGTGTTACGAGATGTTCGCAAAGTATGACTAGCTCCACTCGACGACTGACGAGAGGAGCCGTCAGTCGAAGTGACCGATGGAGTGACGCCAGTCGTCGAGGAGGATGCAGCGAGCAAAGCAGCTGTGAGGCTATTGACAGGGGAAAGATAGGCAGAAAAAGTGTGTGGAGGCGATGAGCCTACAAGAGTCGAATCACGCAGGGAAAACACAGTATCTCCCAGCGAGACGGGAGATAAAAGAGAGCTGTTGGCGAACCCGAGGGCGTCGGTCTCCAGGTCAGAGTTGGCTTCACCGGTGAAAGGAGGGTCGACCTGGCCAGAGGGAAAGTGAATAGATGAGAAAGGAGCCGGTTAAGTCATTGCGATAAAATTATGATTTGGAGACAAGGACAATGGGCAATAGAGAAAAAGTACAAACTAAAAAATTGCTATATAGCAATTTCGATAGTTACGGTAGCTATAGGTGATCACATTAAATAATAACGATGCAAAGCTATGCACAAACCTGATTGAACCGAGCTAGCCAGGCTAGATATCGCTTGATCTCGATGCGGTGCTGTTCTGTCAGGGCCTCTTGTATGGCAGATGATGCCTCCTCTGCTAGCAGACGTTCTTCAGTCTCACCGCCGTGTTCATTCCCCAAAGGGGCAAGAGTGGAAGGTCCAGACAGCAGATCGGCACCACAACGAAGCGCACCCAGCAATTGGCCGATTGCCAGTTTCAGTTCAGCTTGACTGTGAGAGTGATGCGGCAAAAGTAACTGGAGTAAAGGAAGGACAAGAGGAACAAGAGGGATAGCCACTGGTTGTGAATAATATGGTGAAAGTTTGACATTTAGCCGAAAATAGATTGTGAAACGTTATGCAATGAATATTCGAGGGACATAAAATCTATCCTAAATAAATATTTAATATAGTAAAATATAAAATAATTACATATATAACGTATATTATACTATATATATATATATAATAGGTGAAATACTAATATTAATATCCCATTATCGAAAATACAAACGTAAAAAATATGTATTTAGACAATAATTATTGGAAAAGTGAGTTATCATAGATATAAAAATAGTAAATCCGAGATTCCAAATCATTGCCAAGTAGAGCATCAAAATGCTCTACCGTAAGACAGAATCCTCTTCCTTAAGCAGATCCTATGAAGTTTTATGATCAACAAGATTTGGGACGTCAATTTTCCCTTACTTCCAGAGGTAGCTAAGCGGAGACTCTGTAACACAGCCGGCAAGAGATGATCGCTTTTAGACTATCACGAAGTAAATGCAAATGACTTAGGGAGAGATATCACCATTTGATTTATACAAAATGTGATTAATCGAGATGTTCCCAAATAGACTATTCCACCTGAGAGGACAAACTTCTAGAACTCAAGTTCTCACCCTAGTAGGTGTAAGGAATCTAGCAAACTCGGTTGAAACGTACATATGAATTATATTTCGTATGTAAGTAAATCATCTCATATTACTGATTTACTGATAGTCTCGAAACTCTATTTAAATAGGAAAAATAAGTAACGTTTGCTTAATCGACAATCCCACCAAAGAATATGCTATGGCAAAATGCTTGGCCTTCCTTAAAATTCACATCTGCCCTGTGAACCAAAGGCATTTTTGTCAAGTTCACATTCTGCACTGTCACGGTTAGACTCCCGCTGGGGGTGTTGAGAAGACCGATGCGAGGTCGAAACTGCAGTCCACTGGTGCTTGGATGAGAAAAACTTTTGGGGAAGCAAGGCAATGTGAAATTCAATGGAAATGTGAGCTCTACTCATATCATTGAGGGCAAATTCTTCTACCATGCCTTCATCAGCTTAAACGAAATAGGGTGAATACATCTCATATTATATGAATTATAGCTGTATCATTGAAGGTATGAAGAACAGAGATGTTGTCGTCTCTAGTATGATGGCAGTCTCCATTCGATTTATAGAAGTGGGTTGACCTCGTTGTTGCAACTTGGTCTTGTTGTCAGGGCGACTATGCAGAATGCACCTAGTCCGAAGTCGTCTGCCATAGTAGTTGTCATAACTCCCAGCATCAGAGCGTACAAACAGGAATATTTTGGCGAAACAGGGAGAAAAATTGGCACATGAAAATGGATAGTGAAAGATCAGAACAGATCGAACAGACTGGACACGAGATCAATTGGAAGGCACCAAAAGAAGAGTTCCATACGGTGACAACACAAGAGAGCGCAAGATTAAGGAAGCGATTGACATTCTTGGGAGAAAAATCTAATGAACCGGAGATTGGTGGAAGGTAGAGTTGGCGATAACTTTGCCTACAGCCTAAGCAAACTCGGGGAAAACAAGAATGGAGCAAGATGAGCAAAAAGGAGACGCCTGGATCAAGAATCTACCGCTAAAAGGAGGAAAATGGATCGCGATGAAGAGACTGGGTGGAGTTGGATAAAAGGGTAAAGAGTAAATAGATAGGCCAGGACAGAAAGAGGAGTGATAGTGTCACCTTTTTCGACAGAACGTTTGTCGAGGGATTGACTTCATTAGTCTCTTTGACGAGTTCGTAGCCTGGTGCGGAGAATGGCAAAACTCACTGATGATAAGTCCACTGTCTGATGCTGGGAATCGTGACAACTACTATGGCAGACGACTTCGGACTAAGTGCATTCTACTAAATCGCCCTGACAACAAGACCAAGTTGCGACAACGAGGTCAACCCATTTCTTTAGCTGTATCAATCTCAGGAGCCATGTATACTTAACATGAAATGCTAAAAGGTTAAACGAAAAGGTATTGTGCATTCCAGATTGTTACTATTACTATAAGATACATTTCCAATTAGACATTCTTTGTCTGAATAACAATTTATTTTTGGAAAAATCATATTTTAATGCCTGCAGTTATGCAGAGAATTTTGGCTTTTGAAATCAGAAGGTTTCACTGTGAGCGAATTTATTGGTATAGCACAGAGTTGGTGTTATTCTTTTTCAGTCTCAGACCATAACTTTCAGACTCATCCTTTGCTTCCATGGGAACCGTGGATAGCAATTAGCAATGTAGCCTCGGTATATGCAGTGAGGCGATTTGGCTCTTGCCCAAGGAACTTGCAAATTACGAAAGTGTGCTCCAAGTGGCCCTGGTTACGGAAATGTAACCGCTCAAAATTAAGTCCAAACTTAGACTCCGTTTAGATATCAAGTATCTTTAATTAGGCTGGAAAGATATATAAAACATTTCATAACAACTGGTAATGACATCGATAGAAGGTGATCTTGGTTATGGTAAGAGACTCGGCCAATGCAGAGCTCTTTAGAAGCGTTTATAAAATTTTATTAGCAGCAGTAATAAATTATTGGTTGGACTAGAACCAACTGACTAACAATCTATAGAATGAATAATAACCTTGATAAACCAATCAACCGCATAAAATATTGTAAAAATAATAGAAAATAGGTTTATGCAAGTTTACACTTTTGAGTTCGAGACTCACACAATTAAGAGTTTTTAACTCCGACATTTGAATCGGCAGCATAACCTGATTTGTTGGAGCCGCGGCTTTTCTGCTGGATCGAATGGCAGGTTGTTTAACTAAAGTCAGACTGTTCAGTCCGGTCAAATGGATCAAAATAGAGTTGAGCCGCGAGGCAACGAGGGCACGAGCAAACTGAATTGAGAAAAGAGATGTATATATTTTATTCAGAAATAATCAAATGACAAGCAAATTCGGAAGAAATATACTTTTTTCGCGGCAGTAGCATCGAGTGAATAAATTTTAGTTGTTCTACTGCTTCATGGTAAAATAAAGTAATATTATATGCCGTAAAAAGTTAGAAAACATTTATAGACGAAATGTCTGCCGATGGATATGCAATTAGCGAATTCTCGTTGTCGACGTTAGAATATAAAACACTATGTAAAGGGATACAAGGGTATGCCAGTTACACGAATACCTGAGTCATAATGAAAATTTGTGAAGATATCGTTAACAGAAAGTTATAAAATTCATGACAAGTGGATGAATAACATACTCGAGGTGTTGGATGGCTGGATAAGCAGTCGGCAAGTAGACCGAATTCATCCG